GCTGCTGTGCTGCGGGAAGAGACTCCTACGCACTATGCTGCCCAAGAATGCTAACTAGCTAGCTAGCTAGCTAGCGAGCTAGCGAGCTGCTTGCGGTAGCCACGCCAGCCTCAGGCCCACGCGGCGACGTTTAGCTAGCTGGGCAGCTAGCTAGCTGGCTCTTCAGCTAGCTATCGGTGGATGCCTCATCCACGCATGCGGATAGCCTACAGGCTTGCTATGTAGCCCTGGCTAGCGAACTAGCCAGCTAGCCAGCTAGCTACCTAGCTACCTAGTTACCTAGCTAGCTATCTAGCCAGCTATCTAGCTAGCTAGCTAGCTGCCTGGGTCTGCGGTGCTCACGGCAACGCCTTGCAGTCATCTAGGAAAGCCTGAATCTTATCCACCAGAGACTCCTTGTACTTCTGCACAGCCTCATCAACCACTGCAGCAGCAGCAGCAACAGCAGCAACAGCAGCAACGCATACATGCTTTTTCGTTGCATATATACACCTGTCATCCTCCTCTGCAGATTTTAGGCTGGACCCGTTTGTTGTGCCCTCCCTTGTGGGGCCTAGCTAGCTAGCTAGCTTAGCTAGCTTGTTAGGTAGGTAGGTAGCTAGCTAGGTATGTGGGCAGCTAGCTACGCATGTAGCTAGCTAGGTAGGCAGTTGGGTAGGTAGCTAGGTAAGTAGCTATCCGGCTAGCTAGATAGCCAAGTAGCTAGCTAAGTAACTAGCTAGCTAGCTAGCTAGCTAGCTAAAATGAGTGGGTATTCTTACTGGGTTTGAAGTGGTTGGGCGGGGGTTTGGTGAAAGACAGAGAACTTCCATCTAACCAAGACATGCCGCTGCCGTCTGCGCTGCTTACATCGGGCAGGTTGAGGGTGCCTGAGGAGACAGATTAAGGAGACAGATTAAGGAGACAGATTAAGGAGACATACACTGCAACTGCAGCAGCAGTGCTGCAGCAGATCCATCCACAGCCTCAGAGACAGCAACACAGCAGCAGAGACACCAGCAGCAAACTAAACAATACACCACAAGCAGGAGGAGACAAAAAGGAGACAGCTCAAGTGAACTAATTGCTGTCTAGCATGCTCGCAACAGCAGCAAGAGAAGCACTGCAGCAGCAGCACCCATGCGCCCCCCCACCGACACCGGCAGCAGCAGCAACTGCAATAGCAGCCACTGCATCAGCAGCAACTGCAGCAGCAGGAACAACAACAGCAGCAATTTCAGCAGCAGCAGCAACAGCAACATCAGCAGCAGCAACAGCAGCAGCAGCAACAGCAACAGCAGCAGCAGCAAAAGAAGCTGACCCTGCGACTCATAGTTCCCTAGAGAGCCGCTTTCTGCTGCTGCCTCCCCCAAGGGCCCCTTGCTGCAGCTGCAGCAAATGTTAAGTTGTATGCTGCACTTCAAATCGAAGAAGACTCTTCTGCTGCCGCGAACAACCGCCAGATGTGCGTCTCCAGTGACGTCCCCCACACTCTTTGTCTGAAGGCAGGTACGTGTACGTACACCCCAAACCCTAAACCCTAAACCCTAAACCCTAAACCAGCAAAAGAAAGACAGCCACTTGAAAAAAGAAAACAGCAGCGGAAACTGCAACAGCAAGCAAAATAGCACAAGCAGCAACAGCAACAAACAAACCAACAGCAGCAGTAGCAGCAGCAAAGCAGCAACTGCAGCAAACCAACCAGCCGCAGCAGGACCAAACCAGCAGCAGCGGCAAACCGGCAGCAGAAGCTGACGACCCAGCCGCAGCAACAGCAGTAAACCAGCGGCAGCAGCAGCAATCCAGCAGCAGCAGCAACAGCAGCAAACCAGCAGCAGCAGCAGTAAGTTCACCTCAATTGTAGTGGTGAAGCATCCCTTAAGAAGTTCCTGCATTCCTTTGTCGTCTTTGAGTCCACCAGACTTGAAGGCCTCTGTAGCCTTACGGCAAACCTGCAGACCCACCGCAAACCCTAAACCCTAAACCCTAAACCCTAAACCCTAAACCCTAAACCCTATGGCCAAACCCCTAAACACTAAACAGAACCGCTTAGCGCTCCTAAACCCTGAAGCCTTCTCCTGATTGCACAGATCCACCAAGAATGCCTCTGAACGCCAAACCCTAAACCCTAAACCCTAAACCCTAATCACCTCTAAAAGGGCCTCCGGGGAAGCATTGGTGGCGTCGCCGCAGTTAGCAGATGCCTCCTGCAGCCTCTCTGCAAATCGCGTGCGGGCCCAAGGGCTGACGTCTGAGACACAAACAGCAGCAGCAGCAGCAGCAAAGTGCAGCAACAAATGCAGAAGAAAGCCCCAAGCACAGGGCCCACTGCAGCAGCAGCAGCTGCTGCTGCAGCAGCAAACGCAGCAGCAGCTACAAAAGCAGCAGCAAGCCCTACCCTTCTCTTCGTACGTCGTCCCCTTTGCATTCCACTGCGATATGCTCTTTCCTTCAGGCGACTGCAGCAGCAGCAGCAGCAGCAACAGCAGCAGCAGCAGCAGCAACAGCAGCAGCAGCAAGATGCCGTCCCTTGTCTTTGCGGTGTGAACTGCACCACTGGTGTCTAACTGGAGGCCTCAGCCTAAACCCTAAACCCTAAACCCTAAACCCTAAACCCTAAACCTTAAACCCTAAACACTAAACTGCGTGTGAATAGTGTTTGTAAATCTTTATATTTAGCTGTCTATACACCCCAACGAATGTGTTCTTCGCCGCACTTTCTCGCTGTCTCCGGCTGCCCCGCCGGGCGCCTGAGGAGACACTGAAGGAGACAGAATCTTTGTGGGTTTGTTTTGTGCATTCAGCTTCTTTTCTTCTTCTGTTAGATCTCTACGGAAGTAGCAATAACCCATCTTCTTTGTTTCATTTATAATTGCTGCATCCTCCTCATCAATCTCCATCACACTGCTGCTGCTGCTGCTGCTGCTGCTGCTGCTGCGCGAGGAGTCTCCTTTGCTTTTGCGTCGCTGCAAACCGCCCTGAGGACTGTCCACCTCTGCAGCAGCACCCGCAGCAGAGACAGAAAAGGAGACAGCAGCAGCTGCAGCAACAGCAGCTACAGCATCAGCAGAAGCTGCTGCTGCTGCAACAGCAGCAGCAACAGACAAAGGAGAAGGGAGGAAGTGCAGAGACACAGAAACAAAAGGAGACAGCAACAAGCAAGCGGAAGGGTCACAGGAGACAGACAGGAGACAAGTGCTGCAGACACCGCAGATGAAGAGACAGCTAACCAAAGACAGCGCAATAGATAAACAATGAGAAAGATATAAAGGAGACAAGCCAGAGACAGCAAACAGACAAAAAGGAGACATCAAAGACAGCAGACAGACAAACAGACAAGAGAGAGACAGAAAGGAAGCAAAGAGGAGACAGAAAAGAGATAGGAAGGAGGCAGAAAGGAGACACAAAAGGAGACAGAGAGGAGACAGAAAGGAGGCAGGAAAGAGATTAGGAGGAGACAGAAAGGAGACACAAAAGGAGACAGAAAGGAGACACAAAAGGAGACAGAAAGGAGACACAAAAGAGACGCACTGGCCTGCCCTTTCTGCTTCTCTTCTCTCTCCTTCTCCTCTGCTTCTGTCTTCTTCTCGAGCCACGTGTCAAAGGACTCCTCAGGCTCTCCCTTTTCTGTATACAAACCCTAAACCCTAAACCCTAAACCCTAAACCCTCAGCGCTGCTAAGCAAAGGCTCAAACCAGAGGTGGATATAACAAGTTGCACGCACAAGAGAGAGACAAGGAGACAGATAACACCCCGAGCTGTAAAATCCGCAGCAGGCGGGGAACCAGCAGCAGGAGCAGTAGCAGCAGGATAAGCAGCAGCAGCAGCAGCAGCAGCAGGTGCAGCAGCAGCAGCAGCAGCAGCAGCAGGTGCTTGCCTTTTCTTTCTGCCATTTCTTTCTCCCACTGAGCCTTCTTCTTTGCCTTTTCTTCTTCTTCTGCTTTCTTTCTGCGTTCGCGAGCCTCCTCTCTATCGTCATATAAACCGCTAGCCCGGTTAAATAAACCGCTGTACGCCTGCAGCAGCAGCAGCAGCAACAGCAGCAATTGCAGCAGCAGCAGCAAGTGCTTCGCTTTCCAGAGGCAGCAGCGGATGCTGCTTCAAAGCAGCAGACCCCACACCGCAGCAGAAGCATTCATCTGCACATGCGTGCATGCAGCTCAGCCTGCACGTACACCCGAAGCGCATGCACGCATGTTTCGGGGCTTGCTGCATGCATGCATGCATGCAAGCCTTACTTTTTTGTCTTCTGCTTTTGCTGCTTGGATCTTCTCCCTGACCCTCATAAACTCCTTCCTCGCCTCTGCATTTGTCTTGTCTACTGCTAGCACCTAAGCAAACAAGACAAACAACAACCTGCTGCTGCTGCGGGTCTGCTGCTGCTGCGGGTCTGCTGCTGCTGATGCTACGGGTTTGCTGCTGCTGCTGCTGCTGCTGCTACTGAACGTACAGCCATGAGGTCGTCTTTGGCGTCGCTGAGTTCCCCCAAGCTGCTCTTAGCGAGGGCACGCCGGTACAGGGCCTGCAGCAGCAGCAGCAGCAGCAGCAGCAAGGAATAAGGCTTGACAGCAGCACCGAACCCCGCACAGCCCGCAGAGACACTGCCGCAGGCCAAAGGCAAGCGAAGGGCCGTGGGGTGTCTGTACACTCATATACAGTCTCCTTATTTCTCTTCATATCTCTTGGGGAAGTGCTGCTGTTTGTTTTGTCATAGAGACACTCTAAACTAAGCTGTCCCTTCCTGCAATCTGCTGTCTCTCTCTATCTCTCACTGTCTCCTGCTGTCTCCTTTTATGCTATCTTTGCTGTCTCCTATTCTGTCTCCTTCTCTGACAACTCTGTTTGTATGTCTCTCTCTGTCTCCTTCTTCTGTCTCCTTCTGTCTCTTCTCTCTCTCTTCTTCTGTCTCTTTCTTCTGTCTCCTTACTTTGGGGTTTTGAGGTTCTTTGCTTAAAACTTCGTTTGCTGCTGCAATTGCCTGCTGCCAGCGCTGCAGCTTCAGGCAGCACATGCAGCTGTTGCTGCTGAGCTGTACAGACACCGCAATGGCCTCTGAAGCCGTCGCTCCCTTTAAATGCTTCACTCCTGCCTGCAGCAGCAGCAGCAGCAGCAACAGCAGCAAATACCGAATCAACATAACCAATCAGCGCCCACCGCATGCAGCAGCACAGGTCCAAACCCTTCCTCCGAACTTGCTGCAGCAGCAACAGCTCTAGCAGCAGCAGCAGCAGCAGCAGCAACAGCAACACAAACCGCAACCGCAGCAGCAGTAGCAGCAACCGCAACCCCTGCAACCTCAACAGCACCAGCAACCGCAGCAACCGCAGCAACCGCAACAGCAGCAATAGCAACAACAGCAGCAACAGCAACAAACCTTATATTTTGCGAGGGCCTCTTCATACTGCCCCCCTTTAAACAAACCATTTCCTTCATCCTTCAGATCTATTGCTGCTTTTAAGTGCTCTTCAGGAGTCAGCAGCTCGTCAGCAGACATAGAGCTCGCATCGCTACAGGTGTCTTCGTCACGGGGGGCCCCTGAGGGGGCCCCCGGGGGGCCCCCAGGGGCCCCCTCAGTACCCTCTTCACCCATACCCGCCCCACCTGGGGGCCCCACGGGCAATGGCGGGGAGGGCCCCGGTGTTATCCCTTCAGTCAAACTCATTCTCCAAGAGGGTTTAGGGTTTAGGGTTTAGGGTCTAGGGTCTAGGGTTTTGAGTTTTGGGCGTTGCGGGTGTGTGGAGGGGCTTCAGCGGAGACACCCGGCACCTAATGTCCCCGCTGCAGCAGCAGCAGCAACAGCAGCAGCAGCAGCAGCAGCTACGGACCAGAGCTGGTGCAGTAGACAAAGGGAGGAGGTGTTGTGTAAACGAAGGCAAAGTTAAAGCTCTGCCGGCTTCAAACGCACAAAAACACAAACCCTAAACCCTAAACCCTAAACCGCAACAAGCGTAGCAACAGCCCCAAAGAGGGGCGAGGGGCAGCGGCTGCTGAGAGCAAACAGCAGTTAGAGGCCCTTACCCTAATTGAGGTGTCTCTATTATAAATAAAATAAAGCTGTTCTTCTATATTAACGCTTATAAACAACCCCAATAGAAGCCCGCTACTCAAACACCCTGCTGCTCCTGCTGCTGCTGCTGTTGCTTTTGCTGCTGCAGCAGCAGCAGCAGCAGCAGCAGCAGCCGCACAGTACAAACTCCGGTTAGCAGTAATATAAGATCTTCTACCTTAATTTTCTTTCTCTACTTTGTTTTTCTTAATATTACATTATTATTAGCTCTCAATTGCATGCAGCTTCCATACTTACTAATGCTGCAGTAGCAGCAGCAGCAGCAGTAGCACAGCAGCAGCAGCAACACAGGCTGCTGCTGCTGCTGCTGCTGCAGCGGGTCCTAGGGAGACTCAGGAGTATCTTTTTTTCGTGCTTTGTTTGCATTTGTTTTGTTCTCATCAAATTAAATGAGTTTTAATTGACTCTTTGGGGGCCCCTGCGTCTTCACTAGCTACAAAAAAATTTTTTTTAGGGGCCCCCAGGCACACCAGTGAGGGGCCCCCCTCCTAGCGTGCGTAGCAGCTAGCCGGGGGCCCCCTAAAGGCTGCTGATGGTGTTTGCCTATTAAACTTAGAGGACCCTTCTCCTATGAGTCTAGCTGCTGCAGTGGAGGCCCCTTCATCTTCAGGAAGGGGGCCTAGGGTCTTCTCTCTAGGGTTTAGGGTTTAGGGTTTAGGGTTTGAGGGCGACAATGGGGAGGTTTCAGTGGGATTGTCCCAGCTGCCGAGAGGTACGCAGACAAGGGCTCAGTCTGAGTTCTTCTTCCTTTATAGGGGGCCCCTAGAGGAGGGGGGCCCCCTGGGGGC